CACCGAAGGCCCCAGTGGCAATGTTCGCACGGCGGCCTCGGGCCATTTCGGCGCACCCCCCTCACGAGGATCGTGGCCCTGTGGGGAGCTCCACCGAAGGCCCCAGTGGCAGGGTTCGCATGGCGGCCTCGGGCCATTTCGGCACACCCGCCACGAGGACCGAGGCCCCATAGGGAGCTCCACCGAAGGCCTCCGCGGCATGGTTCGCATGGCGGCCTCGGGCCATTTCGGCGCACCCCTCACGAGGACCATGGCCCCATAGGGAGCTCCACCGAAGGCCCCAGTGGCAGGGTTCGCATGGCGGCCTCGGGCCATCACACCCCTCACGCGGATCGTGCCCCTGCGGGGAGCTCCACCGAAGGCCCCAGTGGCAGGGTTGGCATGGCGGCCTCGGGCCATTTCGGCACACCCCTCACCAGGACCGTGGCCCCATCGGGGGCTCCACCGAAGGCCCCAGTGGCAGGGTTCGCATGGCGGCCTCGGGCCATTTCGGCACACCCCTCACGAGGATCGTGGCCCTGTGGGGAGCTCCACCGAAGGCCCCAGTGGCAGGGTTCGCATGGCGGCCTCGGGCCATTTCGGCACACCCTTCACGAGGGTCGTGGCCCCATAGGGAGCTCCACCGAAGGCCCCAGTGGCAGGGTTCGCATGGCGGCCTCGGGCCATTTCGGCACACCCGCCACGAGGATCGTGGCCCTGTGGGGAGCTCCACCGAAGGCCCCAGTGGCAGGGTTCGCATGGCGGCCTCGGGCCATTCCGGCACACCACTCACGAGGATCGTGGCCCCATAGGGGGCTCCACCGAATGCCCCAGCGGCAGGGTTAGCATGGCGGCCTCGAGCCATTTCGGCACACCCCTCACGCGGATCGTGGCCCTGCGGGGGGCTCCACCGGAGGCCCCAGTGGCAGGGTTCGCATGGCGGCCTCGGGCCATTCCGGCACACCACTCACGAGGATCGTGGCCCTGTGGGGAGCTCCACCGAAGGCCCCAGTGGCAGGGTTAGCATGGCGGCCTCGGGCCATTCCGGAGCGCCCCTCACGAGGACCGTGGCCCCATAGGGAGCTCCACCGGAGGCCCCAGTGGCAGGGTTCGCATGGCGGCCTCGGGCCATTTCGGCACACCACTCACGAGGATCGTGGCCCTGTGGGGAGCTCCACCGAAGGCCCCAGTGGCAGGGTTAGCCTGGCGGCCCTGGGCCACACACCCCTCACACGGTTCATAGCATCATAGGGAGCTCCACCGAAAGCGGTACCCACCACGCGGTGCCCACCACGCGGCCCTTCGCCCATGGACGACGGCGAGGGCCGAACCCAGTCCTCAACAATATGAAGGGCCACGGTGAAAGTGACCTTCTTCCAGATCCTGCCCTCGGTGTCACGAGTGGAAATACCAGCGCGTACATCGTGAGAAGGGCATCCTTCAACCACGCGTGGTTGAAGGATGCCTTTCTCGCGATGCACCAGGCCACCTTGAGGGCCGTCTTGAATCATCAGGGGCCATCTTGGGAACCGCTCGGGGCCAATCCTGCTGGTTTCGTGGCCCTCCCCCCGTCGCTCCCTCATGGGCCCCAATCGGGGCCTGTCGCCCGTGACGCCCCAGAGTGTTTGGCGTCAGGCGCGGCCCCGTCGAGCGCCCATTGGGGGGAGTGACACCAAGGCCCTAGGGGGGGCCTGCTCGGAGCCCGAGCCTTCTCCGCCCCCCCCCCCCGATGCCGTTTTGGCACTGGATCGAACGGCGCCCTTTACTGCGCGAGGGCGCGAGCGGCATCCTGCGACGCGCGATCCGCGCGATGATGGACGCCACGTACGCTGCCGACACATACAACTACAACGGCACGTGGGCCGATGCAACGTTGGCGACCTTCCTGTTCGAAGCTGAGTGCTACCCAGCCGCCCTCGATGCATGCATGAGGCTGCGTCTCGACCCGCGCACCGTCTGGGGCGACTTCGGCCACTTCGCTGTCATGGCGCCAGAGTGCGGGTTCGAGCCGTCCGAGCAGGCCCGCGCCCACTACTGCTGGATCTTCGCCGACATCGATGCGAGCATGAAGCAGCTGCCAGCGGCCGCCCACAAGCCCGACGGCGTCTCCGACGACAAGCCCGACTACAACAAGTACGACGGCATCCTCGACGGCAACTCCGACAGCAAGCCCGACGGCATCTCCGACGGCCAGCCCCGCGCACCAGCAGGACCTTCGGCCGCGCCCTCGTCCTCAGCACGGTTGTTCAGCGTACCAGCAAGACCTTCGGCCGCGCCCTCGTCCTCCGCATCGCACACAGGGCAGTGCCGACAGGGCAGCGGCTGGTTTCGCGAGAGGGCGGGCAACCCAAAGGGGCCTCGCTGGGGCGGTAGGGGCGGGACGACGTCTGCCAACGCGCAGTGGCATTCGGGTCTGCACAAGGCTCGGCGAGAGGGCTGGGAAGCCGAGTGCAGGAGGCTTTACAAGAAGCCGCCCAGTGCGGCTCAGAAGTAGGCGTTACTTTTACTTCAATTAGACTTCGGTGCTGCTTCAGCACTGGCTGCATCAAATGCAAAAAATAGCCCGGCGAATGACCCGACCATATGCAGTTGTGAATACCGCAATTGTGATGCCATCTTCGCCCGTGCTCCCTATGGGGCCACGAAAAGTGTGAGGGGTGTGCCAAAATGGGGCGCGTACCGCATGCGGGCTGCGCCACTGGGATCTTGGGTGGAGCTCCCTATGGGGCCACGAAACGTGTGAGGGGTGTGCCAAAATTGGGCGCGTACCGCATGCGGGCTGCGCCACTGGGGCCTAAGGGGGAGCCTGCTATGGGGCCACGAAGCGTGCAAGGGGTGTGCCAAAATTGGGCGCGTACCGCATGCGGGCTGCGCCACTGGAGCCTACGGTGGAGCTCCGTATGGGGCCACAAAACGTATGAGGAGTGTGCCAAAATCGGGCGCGTGCCGCACGCGGGCGGCGCCATTGGGACCATAGGTGGAGCTCCCTATGGGGCCACGAAGCGTGTGATGGGGTGTACCAACATTGGGCGCGTACCGCATGCGGGCTGCGCCACTGGGACCATAGGTGGAGCTCCCTATGGGGCCGCGAAACGTGTGAGGGGTGTGCCAACATTGTGCGCGTACCGCATGCGGGCTGCGCCACTGGGACCTTGGGTGGAGTTCCGCATGGGGCCACGAAGCGTGTCAGAGGTGTGCCAACATTTGGCGCGTACCGCATGCGGGCTGCGTCACTGCGGCCTAAGTTGGAGCTCCCTATGGGGCCACGAAGCGTGTGAGGGGTGTGCCAAAATGGGGCGCGCACCGCATGCGGGCTGCGCCACTGGGACCATAGGTGGAGCTCCCGAGCTCCGTATGGGGCCACGAAACGCGTGAGAGGTGAAGATGATGGTGGGAGGAAGGAGGAGGGGAGAGAGGAGGAGGAGGAAGGAGAGGAGAGGAGAGGAGGAGGAACGCGGGGCGCCGTCTCTTCAAAACGAAGTCCCAACACCACAGGATGGTTGGGAAATAGCCCTCGCATCCCCGTCCTCGTCGTCCTCGTCGCCCTTGTCGTCGTCGTCGTCGTTGTCCTCGGCGTCCTCGTCTTCGTCCTTGTCGTTGTCCCCGTCGTCGTCGTCGTCGCCGTCGTCGTCCTCGTCGGCCCCCACCCCCCCCCCCACCGCAAACTTCGCGGCTTCCCCGCTCCCGCGTGTTGTTTCAGCGGCGTCCCCGCTATGTTGTGTTTCAGCTGAGTTTATATTCAGCGCGGGTGTCATATTCGAAACTACGGATATTGCGATTGCGAGTTCAATTCGAAACGTGCGAACATTCCGATTGTGAGGATCTCTCAAGCCATTCGTCCGAAAACGCCCTGCTCTGCTGCCACCAATTCCCCCGCTACCAGGCCGGGGGGAGGGGGGGGGGGCGCGCAGGAGGCGAGGGGGATGTATAGGAGAAGAGGCAGGCAGGCGAACACGACGACGACGACGACGACTCGACGACGACGACGGCAACGGTTGCACCGACTCCCAAACAGCGCTTGCACTGAAGGCCGACCACTGTGGTTGGGTCTAGCAGGGCCGAGCTGCGGGCCGATATCGCACAGATCAGAGTGGCCCGATCACTCCCAGTCCCCGACGATCTCGTATGTGACCATCGATGGTCACATACGAGATCGTCTGATCAGGCGGACCTTCTTCAGGCGCAAACCGACGGGCGGGTGGTCTGGCATGATCGGGCGCACAAGTCTCTCGAAGGTCGTGCGAAGCCCGACTCGTGTACGAAAAAGCTGTAGCATATGTTCGACTGCATCGATGCAGTCGAACATCTGCTACAGCTTTTTCGTCCGCTCCTCGGGCGCAAGGGTTTCGATCGGCTCATCGGTCGGGTCGAGCAGCGCACTCGATCGGCTCCTCGATCGGCTTCTCGATCGGCTCCTGCCACTGCTAGCGGCCGATCGCGCGGGCTCCTCCATGGTCGCCCGCTCAGGCCCCATGGCCATGCAACCGAGTGGGATTCGGCGCAGCAAATTAGAAAGCGAGCGCTCGTGAGTCAAAGACATGCGGAGGAGGACGAGGGAGAAGATGATACTCATTATGATTGGGGTGGTGGCGATGTGGATGATAAGAAGGATGGTGAGGATGTTGATGAGGATGATGGCGACGACGACGACGATGGTGCGCTGCTATGGCGAAACAGAACATATTGCGCGCATGGGGCGGCATCGCCGCATCGCCAGGTGTGACAGGGGATGCTTACATTGACGTATGAGGAGGGGGCATGTGACAGAAGGGTGCATAGCAGCATCGCTGATGCATCCTGGGTTCTCTCTGGTCGTTGGCCCTCCTCCCCGCCCCCCTTATCCGTCTCGTCCTCCTTCCCCACCCGCGCCTTCTCCCCCCCGCCCCTCCCCCGACCCCATCCCCACCGCCCTCCCCCCCTAGCGGTGCCACCGACGCAGCGGCTTTTCCGCTGGCCCAAGAGCAGCGACCATGTCGCAGACACTGATGGCGCGCATTGGCGCCGTGCGACTTCTCCTGCAGGACATGACTGGCTCGCCTCGCCACGAGTCCATATCGCAGGTGCAGGCGAACGCCTTGGAGACCCTGGTTGCGAGGGAGCAGGCAGGTCTTTCGGACGACCAGAAGGCGAGTGCAACGGCCCTCGTCTCCCATGCGAACTGGCGCGGCCGCCGCGGCCTGAACGTCTTGCAGGCCCTGGCGCCCATTGCACATGGGCCGATGGGCCCCGCGCGGCAGCGCGCGAAAAGCCAGAACTTCTTGGCCCTGACGAACCGCGTCACAGCGGCAGGGCGGGGCCGCCTGCTCGAGGAAGGGGTTCCACCGAGCGCAGTTCAGAGCACGCTGGCGCAACGCATCATTCGCCTGGGGGGGCGCGCATGCGGACGAGTATTCGCTGAAGCTTGCTAACCCGGCCTTCATGCTCATCGCCATGCCCGATCGGGTCGAGACCATGTCCTACTACGAGAAGAAGAAGTGCTACGACAACTTCAAGACGGCGTACCACCGCGTGGCGGAGAAGTCGCCGCGGCCCAGCGCCTATATGCTGGAGCTCCCGCAGACGCCTCTGGACCTCCTGGCGTCGTTCCCGACGGTCTACCATGCCGCGTTCTCGGCAAAGCCTGGGGGCGGCCCAGCAGCGTGCCCCCTGGACATGCGACTCCTTCGAGACTTGGAGGCATCCTATCGGCGCCGCGGTGCCGCGCCCGCCTGCTCGGACCGCACCAGCGGCGCGGCGTCGCAGGAGCTGGCCACCAGGGCGCCTCCGAACCAGATGGAGCAGTACATGCAACAGCAGATGCAGCAGATGCAACAGATGACGCAGATGATGCAGATGGCTTTCGGCGCGGCGGCGGGAAGCATGCGAGGGGGCCAGAGCGCGGCGCCGACAGGGGGCGGCGATCTCTTGGACAACCTGACGGTGTTCGGCGCGAATCGGCGGCCTGGTAGACACCCTGCTCTCGCCACGACGGGTGCGGCTCGCGCGGGCTCGAGCGATGCGTTGGCGAGCCTTCCACAGGCCGCGGCGCCGACCGCGGGATCGCAGCACGCTGGCCCGCCCAACGTGACATCGTCAGCAGAGGGGTCGCAGCAGATCGCGGCGTCGGCAGCGGCGCCCCCGACCCAGTCGCAGCCGATCGTGGCGTCGGCAGCGGCGCCCCCGACCCAGTCGCAGCCGATCGCGGCGTCGGCAGCGGCGAGCGCGCCGCCAGCCGCTGAGCCAGCCGTCGAGCTCGCGCGGCCCTTGAGGATGGACATCGGGACACAGGTCGAGGAGGCCATGAAAATGATGCTGCATAAGAAGAATACGAAGCAGGCGAAGAAGCGCCCAGCGGCATGCCAGGCGGCCGACGAGCGCGAGCAAGAGAACGTGGACGGTGATCAGGGGGAGGTGGGGGACCAGCGTTCGTCACCGAAGGCCAGAGGACGGCCAAAGGCGAAGACGGCGGCGAAGCCGAAAGCCAAGCCCGAGGACGCGGCGACGACGACGCCCATGTCCAAGCCCAAGGTCCAGGCGCTCATTTCCGACATCGTTGTGTGGACGGGCTCGGACGGGAGCGTCAACAAGAACACGTTCGCATCGAGGATGTACTCCAGGGCCAAGAAGCGGGCAGCTGACGACGGCTACTCGCATGATGCATCGGTCGAGGTAGCGAAGAAGGCCTACGGCGCGGCAGCCGCGATGTGGGATGCCAAGTGCAGCTGATCGCGGGCGCGTTGAGCTGCGCGCCCAGCCTGCCTTTGCACTGGATGGGATCTGGGAGGGTAGGGAGGATGAGGGGGACAAGGAGGAGGGTGAGGAGGAGGAGCAAGCACCGTGTCTAAGATGCACGCGAGCCCCGCACCGTCGGGGCTGTGTGCATCGCGCCTGGGCCTATGCATGCAGAGCCAGCCGCGTTCGGGGCACAACCTAATGCGTGCCCAATCAAAGAGCCCCCAGATAAGCCCAGAGGAAGAGGCGGTGGGTGGGGGGGGGGGCTGTCGCCCGCGGGCGAACACTTGGGTGCCCTTTCCTGCCACATCGCCAGCATGAGCATGTTATCGTCCCGTTATCGGCCTTGTTAACAGTGTTACCACGCTCGTTATCATTGTTATCAATGTTATCAGATAACACCGTGATAGCGGTTATCAGATGCTGATAACGCGCGTGATAACAATGATAACATGCTATCACGCCTCTTGATAACGCTGACAACACGAAATGCGAAACATTCGCGTTATCAGACATCCTTGATAACGGTTATCAGATGTTATCAAGTTGTTATCGCAGCCCTTGATAACGCGCCTGATAGCGGTGATAACGGCCATGACACCTGTGTGATAACGGGTTGGTAGCGGTCCGATACGTCCTTCTGGCATCCTCTTCCCCCCCCCATCTCCCCCTCCTCCGAATCATGCTCCTCCTCCCCAGCGGTCTTCCGCTGGCTCGAGCGGCGCCCCCGCTTCGCCTGTTGCCACCTACGCGGGAGCGGCTCGCGCCCGCGCGCGGCGCGGCCGGAGACCGAGATGGCCACTGCTAGCG